TCCGGGGAAATTGACCTCGAATTATGAGGTCAACAAAGGAAACTGCAAACGGGCTGTAGCCTTGCTTGTGGAGATGGTTGAGGAAGGTGAATTACCTGATGAATTTACATATGGAAGCCTCCTGGCATTGGAACACACTATCTATGCTGAGAATCTGCACTCCCAGATAATAAAGAAGGGACTGGCAAGCAATGTTTTATCCTCAAGTGCTCTCTTGGATGCCTATGGTCGCTGTGGGAAGCCTCTAGATGCAAGAAAAGTCTTCAATTCTATGACAGAAAGGAATACCACATCTTGGAATTCTGTAATTTCTGCTTGCATTGTCAATGGTATGATAACTGAAGGAATTCAGCTCTTCTTTGAAATGCAGAAGTCTGAAGTCTTTCCAGATGACTACACCATATCCACCGTCTTGAAGGCTGCCATGACTCTTCTGTCAACTTTCACTGTGAAACAGCTGCATAGAGTTGCATATAAGATGGATCTGTGGAGAGATTCTTCCATAGGAAACACTCTCATCATTTTGTAAGCAGAGCAGGGCTTCATGAAAGATTCTCTGCATGCTTTCGAAGATATCTCTGTGCCAGATCTCATATCTTGGAACTCCATGGTTCAGGCTCACCTTAATAACGAGGAATTTGAACAGGCCTTAATCTTATTCATAGAAATGAAGCATCTGGGGTTTGTGCCTGACAAATTCAGCTTCGTTGCAGCTTTGGAAGCATCTGCTGCACTACCTTGCTGTAAAACAGGAAGGCAAATCCACTGCAACCTGATAAAGGCTGGTCTGCTGCCACTAGATGCCTTTACTGGGAGTTCTCTTATTGACATGTATGCCAAATCCATGGCCGTAGAAGATGCAAAGAAAGTATTTGACCGTATAAATATTAAGGACTTGATTACCTGGACCTTGATATTTGTTGGGTTCGCTCAAAATGGATATCTGAATGAAGTTCTTAGATTCATCACACTGATGAAAGAAGAAAGCAAAGAACCAGATAAAAAAAATAATAAAAAAAAAAAAAGCAAAGAACCAGATAACTTTACTTTCGCAAGTATCCTCACAGCCTGCGCAAATGACACAGCAATTGAACAAGAAAAGCAGATCCATGCACTTATACTGAAATCAGATTTCATGGTTGATACAGCTTTAACCAATGCACTTATAACGATGTGCTGCAGAACAGGTAGTATAAAGGATGCTAAAAAGGTTTTTTCTGCAATACATGAGAAGAATGTAGTCTCTTGGATATCAATGATCAGTGGGTATACACAATGTGGATACTGTAAAGAGGCTCTCAATCTTTTTGATCAAATGGAATCTGAAGGAACCATTCCAAATGCTAAAACCTTCATTGCCTTATTGACAGCCTGCAACCATGGAGGTTTGAGCAATGATGCTATCATGTATTTTGAGATAATGCAATTGAGACATGGGATCAAACCTTCTTTTGATCATTTTGCGTGTATGGTGGATATCTTGGGATGAGCCGGGAGATTGGAAGAAGCAGAAAGGATCATTGAAGGGATGCCTTACAAGCCCAATGCCTTAGTATGGAGAATGTTGTTGAGTGCTTGCAGGATTCATGGTGACTTGGAGAGAGGAAAGAAATCCATGGAGAAAATACTTACACTAGAACCTGGTGAGTCTGTAGCTTTTGTATTGCTTTCTAACTTGTATACTGATTTGGGATTTCATGAAGGTGTAATGAAGATTAGAAAATTAATTAGGGAAAAAAGAATAAAGGAAGAACCAGACAAAAGTTGGATTGAGGTAAATAACCGAGTATATGAGTTCATGGTAGGAGATATCTCACATTCAAAAACAAAAGAGATATACTCAAAGTTGAAACAGTTACATAAACCATTAAGAGATGAAGGATATGTGCCAGGTAATAGTTTCTTGTGGTAATGATATGTGCCAGGAGATATCTCAAAAGTTGGATGGTTGAAGGGGAGGAATGCATCTGATTTGTTGTGTGATAAAAAGGTCCCCCTCAAACTTAAGGGTAAATTCTATAAGATGGTGGTGAGACCTACAATGCTTTATGGTGCAGAATGTTGGCCATTAAAAGAGAAGCATAATAATAAGTTAATTGTTACAGAGATGAGGATGCTCAGGTGGATGAGTGGATTTATCCTCAGAGACACTATGCAAAATGAGCATAAACATGAAAAGGATGGAGTAGCTTGTTGACCTTTGTATAATACCCAAAGGAAATGAAACGAAATGCATACCTACACTCTGCCGCATATCCCTGAAATCCCGCTCTGTACCTCGTATCCTTCAAAATCTCACTCAAATCCCGGCTATCCTGCTGCATTCGCACAAATCCTCGAAAATCTTGCAACTCGCCTCGATCGAATGTCTGAATACATCGTTAAATACCAGAGAGAATGAAGTCTTCGCGCTACTTCCTCTCTTCCACTTCATGATCGCTGCCCCTGATTCCACAGACTTCCGATCCCCTGCTCTAGGAAGTCGACCCATGATCCTTCACAATCTATTCGAACCGAAGACCTCTCCTCCCCTCTTTCTCAGATCGAAAGCCCATCCAAACCAATACTCCTCTTCTCTGCCGACTCCCACAACATAGCCCGGAGAGAAGAGAGAGGAGAGAGAGAGAAAGTGAGTGAGAAGAGCTACCTGCATCTTCCTCAATAGCCGAACCCAACCCGTGTCTTCCGATCTCCTCCTCACCCGAGCCCTCACTCCAACTTAACCCATCACCTCCTCATATATCAATTTACTTAAAGCCCAACTCAGCCCACTCACTCAACGTCCCCCAGAGGCCCACTCACTCAAACTTCAGCCAACACACTCACAAAACCCAAATCACTCATGGTTGTCTCCTCTCCCTCACATCAATTTTTGATGCTAAGTGCATTTAACATTAAATATTAATTTAATGCTCAATATAATAATAAGTAATAATATAATAATAATAATAATAATAATATTATTATATTAATTATTATTATTATTATTATGATAATAGTAATATAGTTTCTATTATTTTACAAATATAATAATACTGTCATAGTAATATTATTATGAATATAATAATAAATTATTAATTATTATTATAAAAGAAATCCTTCTTCTGCATGGCTTGCAGGTAGGCAGACAAACCCCTTACGTGCTTCACGTAGCGAATAGATGGAGAGAAATCGCGGCGACGCTTACCACGACTTAAATCATTCCTCAATAGCTAGTGCACGAGCCGGCAAACACCCCTTACGCATCACGTAGTGTAGTAGGGAGGATAAACCGGCGTGGCGCTTGCGCATGGAGATATATATATATATATATATATATATAGTATATACTTATATATATATAATATATATATATACTCCAACGTCATATAGTGCAGAGGGGAAAAAATTACTGCTCTTATTAAAAATTTGTGCTCGAACCTTAAACACTAATGTAGTGGGTAGGGATTTAAAAAAATATGTATACAACCACGATGTTATTTGAAAACCTACCTGAAAGCGCTCAAGGAGCAATGGAAGGGAATGTGCCTCTTCTGATTTTTCCCCTAAACGGGAGAGACACCGGGAGGCTGCTGAAATTTGGATCGAAGATCAGGAACTTGAACAACGTTGATTCTAATTTGGATACTAATTTGGACCCATAATTGAACTAAAACTTTCAAATTTGAATAAGTAAGCAAATGGCTTAAACAAAACTCAAGCAAGGGGAATTTGAACTTGTACATCAAACAATACTTAAACTCTACAAGACAACAGGGGACTCGATGAACGGAAGAGGCTCATAGTGAGCCTGAACTTTATTTGAACATATGAAGTACTTTCTTTGGACTCGAACTTAATTGAACGCAACGAACTTATGAACCTTTAAACAAAATTAGGACTTGCGTTTGAATAACATTTGGACTTGATTAAGCAATAATAGACTTGTGGACTTGAAACTTGAATCGAATGGCATCACGTGGAAATTGTACTTACTTGGACAACAGGGGACTTGCATATCGAATGATGATAAAGAAGACTCATTGTGGACTTTGTCTTAAACTCAAATTGGAGCCGGACTTTGAACTAATGATTTAAATCCTAACCTAAACTAAAGTCTAATAGTTATGATGAAAATAATGAGCCACGATTTTGAATATTTGAACTCAAGTAAGGACTTGAGTTGGACCGCAAGAGACTTGGACAAGATTTGGACCACTTGAAATCAAACTTGGGCTTGGACTCATGTTCAAATAAATGAAAAGAGCTTTGACTCAACTTGGAACTAAATGAGAATTACAAGAGAGCATGGTATAACTTGAAATCAAGTAGACTAAGTGTAAAGAACCGAAATATTGGACCTAATCGAACTACATACAAACAAGAATTAAATGAAAATGCAATCAAATAGCAAACGATAATCATTCGAGTATTAATTGACATTCATGGTTACTCAATCGATATCAAATGAAGGATGCATGTTCAATAAGGTGCACAAGTAACCAAGTTGTAGAATGAACCTTTAAATGATATATCACTGATGAACAAGCCTATTCCTCTAAACGAGAATCATCATTGGGGCAAGGAATGATGAAACTAAAGTGACTCAAGCTCTCCAATCAAGTTGATATCCATGCGACTATTGAATGATGAATGTGATAATGTGCCTACAGGCAATGATATAAGGCTCTTCATGCATAAAACCACTTGCTCGTAGATCACAGTAGAGATACTCGTAAGCAATGAAGGTCAACAAATATATAAATTCACTGGTCTTTTATGATTTATGATTGATGCATCAAAAATATGACAAATCCCTCTACAGACATATGTAGGTGATAAATGCAACACCTTATAGTCAACGTCAGTATGCGACCAGGTACATTAA